CTGCTTGTTCTAAAGCGTACCCGGACATACAGGGTCACTCCACGACCCCCTGATACAAAAAAAAAAAAAAAAAAAAAAAAAAAAACATTTTCTTTAACCATCTACCCTGCATAGCAGCAGTGCCCTATACTGCCCAGGGTTAAGGAGGAATGTTGGGGTAACCAAACACTGGGAAGATACTAAAGTCACATCAGCAGGACGTGGAATGATGGTGTAGCCCAGGCTAATTCAGTAATTCTTTAACTTTTCATTTGTTTGTTTTTGTTTTTTCTATGTAACATCCTTGACTGTCCTAGACTCTTTTAGACCAGGCTGGCCTCCAACTCACAGAGAGTTCTACCTGCTTCTGCCTCCCTAGTGCTGGGATTAAAGGTGTGTACCACCAAGGCCAGCTTCTTTAATTTTTTTTTTTTTTTTCGAGACAGGGTTTCTCTGTGTAGCCCTAGCTGTCCTGTAGACCAGGCTGGCCTCAAACTCAGAAATCCGCCTGCCTCTGCCTCCCAAGTGCTGGGGTTAAAGGCGTGCACCACCACTGCCCGGCCTTCTTTAACTTTTAAAAAGATTTTTTAAGGGGCTGGAGAGATGTCTCAGCGGTTAAGAGCACTGACTGCTCTTCCAGAGGTCCTGAGTTCAATTCCCAGCAACCACATGGTGGCTCACAACCATCTGTGATGGGATCTGATGCCTCTTCTGGTGTGTCTGAAGACAGCTGCAGTGCGCTCATAGAAATTTAAAAAAAAAAAAAAACTTTTTTGGTTGGTAAAAAATAAATCTTAAAAAAAAAGTTTAAAAAAAAGATTTTTTAAAACGTATCTGCATGTTTTTCCTGAATGTGCACTCTGTGGTGCCTGGTGCTCGTGAAATTAAGGTCCTGTGCAGCTGCTCTGGAAGAGGAGCCAGTGCTACTAACCACTGAGTAATTTTTGAGCCATCCCACCCTCCACACACACTGTTTTAGTTTTTTAGAGATAGGGTCTCTCTTTGTAGTACTGTGTGTCCTGGACCAAACATTGTACGTGAGGCTAGCCTTGAACTCACAGAGATCTGCCTGTCTCTGCTTCCCTATGATCAAAGGTGTAGCTGTGTCCTGTCCTCCCTCCTCCCTCTCCCCCCTTTTTTGAGGTAAGAAATCTTGCTTCTGCCTCCAGGGTGCTGGGATTAGGGGTGTGCAAGCACCCCAATCTCGGACCTTAAAAAAAAAAACTTAACAAAAAGATTCCTTCCTTAACAGGGTTTCTCTGTGTAGCTCTGGCTAGCCTGGAACTGAGAGATCCACCTGTCTCTGCCTCCTGAGTAGGTGTTGGGACTAAAGGATTAAAGGTTTGTGCCACATTGACGTGGCAAAAGATTTATTTTGTGTATATGTGTGTGCTTGCATTTAACTGTGCCCAGGCCAGGTTCCCTGGAACTACAGCTACAGTTTGAAACTGCCCTATGAGTGCTGGGAACTGAACCTAGGTCCCCTATAGTATTAATATTTGCCCTTAACACTTCATCCTCTCCCTCTTCCTCCCCGCTTCCCTCTCTCTCATTCCCTCCTTCTCTGTCTCTGCCTCCTCCTTTCTGACACAGGATCTCACTGTATAGACCAGGCTGGCTTCAACTCAAAGTGATCTTCCTGTTTCAGTCTCCCAAGTAAAGGCATTGCAGGGAAATGCCAACACACCCCTCTGAGGTAACTTTGTATTATTTATTTAGGTAGCTAGGTAGTGTGTGTGTGCGCACGGGTGTGTATCTCTAGTCAGAGGTTCAAGAGTTGGGTCTCTTATACTTCGTGTGTCCCGGAGATTGAATTCAGGTTGTCATGCTGGGCGGCGAGGGCTTTTCCTTCTTAGCTACCTCGACAGCTCCTCAAGTAACTTTTTAAAGTGACAGTGAACACTTGGAAGCACCACCAGATTGTCTAGGGCGTGGAGGAGGGGAGACCACAGCGGCCAGTCCTTGTACAGGAAGGGGGCGGAGCTTAGGCTGAGCCGTGGCCTGCGCAGCCGGTCCTGACGCCGAACTGTGATTAGCATTGTAGGCAACCAATAGAAACAAAGATATCCTTTTAAACTGTCCAATGGCGTCATGTGGAGGGTGGGCCCTACCGGCCCTATAAATTGGGAATCTGGCGAGCCCCGCGGCGGCAGAAGCTCGTGGAGCTCGGCTTGCTTCGCTTGCGGAGTCGTCTGCGCCGGTTGGTCCCAGTTCCTCCTCGGCGTTTTCAGGGCCAGCCTACCTCGCCCCTTGGCGCCATGACCACTACCACCACCTTCAAGGGTGTGGACCCTAACAGCAGGAACAGCTCCCGGTAAGGCAACGGGGTAGGGCTCGAGCCCTCCAGGGCTTGTGGGGGCCGCGGGGCGTTGGTGGTAACGGGCCGGGAGCACCGCGCTCGCGCCCGGGGGAGGGTGGCAGAGTGAGCAGTGGGCGCCGCTTTGTGCCGCAGGACTCCCTCGGCTTGTGGCCCCGCCCCAATCGGCGACTCTATTCATTTCTCCCCGGGAGCAATGGCTGAGGGGACCGTGGGTGGCGGCCCTTTGCCATACGCCAGTTTGGAGTCGGTGAGAGTGTGCGGGAGGATCGTCTTTCAGCCACCCGCGGCGACACTGGTCGGGTCCAGGATGGTGGGCTTGGTCTCCCAGGAGCCCAGGGAGTGTGCAGGGCCCTGGGTCCTGGGCCCATTGTCCCACATGAGGGCCATGCGCTCCCGCTTCTGTCTCGGGCGTGTGCTGGCCCCGGCCTTGGGCGCTGCGAGCAAATCTGAGCCCTGGTCTGCAGGCTCTTTTCCTCGTGGTGGCCCGCCGGGTGTCCGGGTCTGCGCAGCAGGTGCACCTCGGGTAGGGCGGGGCTGCTCATCCCCTCCCCTCCTCTCCAGCCTTGGATCTGAGTCCTCGAAGTGCCTGCCTGCGCCTAACAAAGGAGAGATCGGGTCTCCTCCCCCTCCCCACGCCCACCTCCGATTGCGCGGGGCCGTGAGCCTGCTCAAGTGGGTTTTCTGCGCTCAGATCCTCGGACTTCAGGCCTTCCGTGCCACCTTCTTCACTTCTCCCGTTGACTTTGGCCAAATGAGTTCACCCCAGAGCAGACTTCTCTTGGAGGAGGAGGTTGTCTGTGCTTGGGCGGGGCTAGGGAACCATCCATTGTCTCTCCAGTACTATGTAGTATCCCTTCCTGTAAGCTGGGATCTTGCTTGTCACCCAGTACACTGCATTTTGGGGAGGAGCTGTGTGTCTGGACTGGGACCCTTTTCCTACCCCTCACTTAACTTGGTGGGAGGGATTGTGTTCTGTGGAGGGAGTCCATGCACATCATCTCAGCTAGTGGCACACAGTCTGAAAGTTGGCTTTCAGGCATCTCTTGGATCTTCCTAAAGGCTTGATTCCATGTTCTCTGGCCACCTATTTTCCATTGATGATGACCCACAGTTGAGTGTGACCAAGCCTTGGGGTCCTGACCAAGTGGCACGAAAGGGAGCCATTTTGTGGGGCTAAGAAGACAGTGTGGAATAGCAGTATCTCGCAGGGGCTTGACAACTTGCTAACAAAAAGCAACCTCCTTGAGTAGTCTTCCGAGGAAGCCTGGGGCAGGAACAGGCTGCTTTCAGTTTCAGGAAGTAGTAAAAGAACTGGTGAGATGGAAGGGAACCGAAGGGGCAGGCGATTGGGATTACAGGGCGGGGCAGAACTGGAGAGTAGACCTAGGAGACCGGGTCACTCCCTCTTGTTGTCATCCTTCAAATCAGATAATTTGTTACAAAGGACACAGGGACAGACTGAGCCCTAGGTTTTTGTTTTGTGTGATGAGGCCAACTTTTTCTGTTCTAACTCTGGTTCCTGGAAAGATACTATGTACTCTGGGTTTTATCTTTTGGGAGTCAAGCTCAGCTCAAGGCTTTGTAAAGCATTTCGGAGCCCAGGGCCTTTTGATGCATGTTTGACATGTGAGACAAATACAAAGTGTGTCCAGCCACCTTTGCCATTGCTTGCCCTCCGGTGTTGGTGCTAAGGTTCTCCCCATTCTCTTTCTGTAATCTAATCTCTTCACCCCTTTCCTCAGTAATGTGCTGCTTGCTCTGCAACCTCAGTTGTGAATGCAGTGATGGGAAGAAAGGAGTTATTTTTTAAATTGCTGTCTATGCTGTAACATTTTTTGGGTCTTAACTCGGCAACCCTGAAGCAGTTACTATCTATGTGTTTCAAAAAGAAAGTGTCCAGACCACAGCTGAAGTACTTTGTCTGCAAGCAGATCCTTTGTCTGGGAACCGCTCTCTGTTTCAGATGGTCTCTATAACACTGACGTCATTGGGGAGGTAGTACCTGCTATCACAGGACCAGCAAAAGTTGGACTAGGCAGGTTTGACAGATTTGTAAGCTAGCTGGGTGCTAGTGGTCCCCCACCCTTGTTTTTTTCTTGGCCAAAACATATTTACAAGTCTACTAGGGTTCTGAAGAATTTCATGAGCTTTTAATTCCACTTAGCGATGAACGCCTCCCTCTCTGGGGAGTGAGGGAGGACAAAGAAGCACATTGAGTTTGATTTTAATATTTCAAGTGTCTTCAGTTATTTAAGGTAAAAATGTAAACTAGTCCTACCCAGTAAGAGCCAGTAGGCTGGAGGTGCTTGTCTATCGCCTGGGCAAGACCCTGGGCTCCACCTCAGCACTCCCTACTTCTCTTCCCCCAAAAACACACCCCAGAACTTATCTATACCTTTAGTAGTAGTTTAAACAGCTTAATTACCTGGGAACCTGGATGAGGGGAGTGTGTGAGCCTGTTATACCAGCACTAGGAAGGCAGAAGTGGGAGGGTGGCTTCAATCAAGCTCCAGGCTGGCTACAGCTGTATAGTGACACTGTTCTCAAAAAAAAAAAGTATGATTATCATCTTTATAAAGTACGTATCAGAACACATTTATCTTGGTTTATATAATTAATAGAGCTGGGAGTGTGTGTGTGTGTGTGTGTGTGTAGGATCTCAACCAAGTGGCTTTACACTGGCCTGGATTTAGTTAGTGCCCAGGTTAGCCTCCAACTTGTGACCTCCTTCAGTCTCCTCAGTGCCAAGATTAAAAGCACTTGGAGACATAGTTTTAGATGTTTTTGTTTGTTTGTTTTTGTTTGTTTGTTTTTGTTTTTTTGAGCCAGCATCTCACTGTGTAGCCTCAGCTACTGGGCTGGAACTCAGTATGTGGAACAGGCTGGCCTCAATCTCATTGAGGTCCACTCGCCTCTGCCTCTGGTGTACTGGGATTTAAGGCGTGGTTACCACAGCCAGCTGACAAACACATGTGTTTGTCTTCAAGGACAAACACAAGTGTTTGTCTTCAAGGACAAACACATGGAGTTACCTAAGGTTCTCTTGTTTTCTAGCCCCGGACTGTCTCTCTTCTGTAGGCCTTCTCCCTAGACTGTGACATTGGTGTCTCACTCAGTATGATGCAGTGCTCAGGCCTGGAGAGTGTTATGTGTGTGTATAAGTATGGATATGTGTGCATGAGTTGCAGATACCTGTGAGGGCAGAGGCATCCAACCCTCTGGAGGTACAGGAAGTTACGAGCCACGTGATGTGGGTCCTAGGATCTAAACTCAGTCCTCCGCAGGAGCAGCAGATGTTCTTACTGCTGAGTCCTCTGTTTGTCTAGTTGATGTCATTGTGAGCCCCTCATTTTTTTAAAAAAAATATCTTTTATATTCATTTTTATTTTATGGGTATGAGTGTTTTTTCTGAAACGACATATGTGCCTGATCCTCACAGAGGAAGGTGTTGGATGCCTTGGAACTGGAGTTGCAGGTGGTTGTGAGCCACCATGTGTGTGCTGGGACTTGGATCTGAGTCCTGCAGGAGCAGCCAGGCAGTGTCTCTTCAACCCTTCTCCTTCCTGCAAAAGAGTGGATTATTTTATTGTCTGTTGTTGGAGGGGTGCCTGCAGAGTCCAGAAGGTGTTGAATCCCCTGGGGAGTTACAGGTGGTTGTGAGCTGCCTGGCACAGATGTAGGGAACTAAACAAGACCAACTACAGGAGCAGTGAGTGCTCTCCAGGCCTGAGCACTGTATCTTAGTGAGTGAGACACTAACGTCGTAGTCCAGGGCCAGAAAGCAAGAAAACCTAAAAGAAATTCCATGTGTTTGGTCCTGAAGACAAACATGCTATTGTTTGTTTGTCTGTTGATTGATTGTAGCACTTGCTACAAGTCTGCCAAGCTGCAGGACTGCTGTCCTAAAGTCAGTGGGCAGCTGCTGGAGTCTCCAGGTTCAGGCTCTCCTCTCCTGACAAGAAGCAGTGAACTACAGAGTAGAGCCCAAGCCCAGCACCCTGCCTCTGTCTCACCTGGCTTCATAGGCCGTAAACTATGGGCAGAGTTTGTGTTGAAGCAGTTGTGGAAACCAAGATTACCTGACTGGGAAAATCCTGACAGTAAAGTTGCAGAGTCTATAAGTCAGGTTTGTTGCAGACAGCTACGATTGTCCTGCCCTGTGTGCTGCAGGGCAGTGAAGACTAAGGAAGACGATCCTGGAGTACTTGTGGCTTCCCTCGCCAGGAGCAGGAGCACTAACTAACCTGCCTGTGCTCCCTGTGATTTGTCTCTGGGGCTCATGGAGGAAGCAGGGGTGGGGTGTGGAAGATCAGCTAAAGATTAAAGGGCTGAGGGGAAGGGTGGAGCATGCCTGAGCCAGAGGAGATTGAGGCCAGGAAGGGCTCCAAGTGGAGATGACTTGCAACCGTGAAGGAAGTGGAGAGGAAGGCGGCTGGAAGTGTCTTGGTTGAGAAGAGGCAGAAATGGGCAGTGCATGAGTCCAGTGAGGAGGACCAGTGTCTGAGTACTGAGGCCAGGAACCAGCCTGAGGGAGCTGAGGAGCCAGGATTTCTGTCACAGGATCCCATGAAGACAGGAGAGAAAGAAGGTGGTGTTGAGAAAAGTAACTCTGGTCCCCGGGTTGATAGTACACATCTGTAATCCCAGTCTGAGAAAGTCGAATGGCAGTCTCAGGCTGGCTGTTCTGTGAGATCCTCTGTCGAGAGGAAAAGAATTTCAGTCTCACTCTGTAGTCCGGCCTTTACTGTATGGCCCAGCGCTGCCTCCAACTCGGTGACCTGTCTCTGTTACCGTGTCTACCTCAGAAGCAGTCTTTTATTTTTTTAAAAGATTTATTCTTAAATGTGTCTGTGTGAGTGCAGGTGCCCTTGAGGCCAGAAGAGGGCATTGAATCTCCTGGAGCAGAAGTTACAGGGAGCTGTGAGCTGCCTGACTCGGGTGTTGGGAACTACACTCCTACACTCATGTCCTCTTTGCTGCTCCACTGAGCCGTC